ATCATAATTTAAAGCAGTACGGTCAAAATTATATCTGTGCACCTAGTTGCTTTTTGAAGTAGGGCAGTGGGTGGTAATTTGCCATGCTCCTATATTTTTAGGTTACCAGCTGCTTTCTGAATGCCTCCAGGGCATCAGTGGGAGCCACTTCCTCGCACAGGGCCAAGGCAGCACTGCTCAGCTCATCCCAGCAAAGCCCCAGCTCCCACTGGTTTGGGGGAGCTGCCTGGGACAGTGACAGGGGCATTGTGGCAACTTGCTGTGGGTGACGAGGCTTGGCACAGAAACTGCCTTGCCCAAGCCAGTGGGTGGTGGTGTCCTTCCTCTGAGGGCACCAGTGTCCCACAGGTTTTCCAAGTGGAACCTGTTGGCTCACAAGGGAGTTGGGCTCTTGCCTGTGTATGAAGCTCTGAGCTTCCACTGAGCTTGGCACCATCTTCCTTCTTCAGCCTCTGCATCCGCTGCTGGTAGTGGTGGGTTGTTCATTTTGCAAGACAAGAATTTTTCATGTCCTCAGCTGTGGATTTAGTGTCTTTACATGTGGCCCAAATCTGCACAGACTTTCTCTCCTGATAAAGGTCAAAGGCAGGATGTTTTTGGAGCATCTGTTATCTCGCCTGGATTACAGGGAAATCCAGGGATGCCCACTTTGAACTCCTACCACATGCCAAAGCACAAAGAAGTCCTTGAGGTTGTGTTCCTTGAGATCAAGCTTCTCAAAAATATCTTAAGAAACTACCATATTAAAATGATCTCATTCAAATTCATAGGACTATTATGCATTTTTATGAAATCTTTTTTTCACATGTGGATATATTGGTATGATATATATTTTAATTGCAGAGATTAGTAGGAAAATTCTTGTATTTAAATTTTTCCTGCTACTTTATCTAAAAGTATGATGCTTCTTTCCACCATTGCCCATGCAACTAAGAAGGTATCAATAGCATTTTAATCTGTTTTGCAATGCAGATATTTCACAACATAGAGGAGACTGCTTCTGGTGGATAATTTCTGGTGGTTATTAAATATTCTGCTCCTTTTAGAATGAATCTGCCCACTGGGTTTTGTGTTCTTTTGAACATAGACTTACTCAGTTTAACTCATTGATAAACTTCACAACTTTTTCCCTAAGTGAACCCAGGTTTGATCATCTGTAAAAACATGGAAAAAAAAAAAGCATACTTAATCAGGCCTGGGTACTTCTTGAAGTAAAAAAAGTGGTAACTAGCACTTTTGAAAGCTTTTTGTGGTTAAATCTTAAAGTACTTCATAGATGTTAAGGTAAACAGATGTTCACAGATACTGATGGATTAGCTGAGTCACAAAGTCATTGTCAGAGCCAGGAATGCAGCCTTATTTCTTGTGACATTATTTTCAGGCTGTGAACCCTTCCCTGCCCTGTTTTTCTTTCTAATTTCTTAACACAGAGTAAAAAAAAAAAAAAAAAAAAAATTGTCTTAGAGTAGTGACAGTTTAGACCCAACTGAAGTACTGGGACTAAGACATTTCAGGAGAACCCCAGAACTTGAAAATGGTGATGAGAGGTGATGACTCACCCAAACAGAGACCCTTCCTTGGACAAACTAGTGAGACACAGAGGTTTCTGGGAGGTCATGAAGACTGCCTCTGTGCTTGGGGGGAAAGGGTGCTCCTGGCAGGGAGTGGAAATGGTGTCTGTCTTGGGCCATGCTGCTGTAGAAATGCCCTCAGTAGCTGCCTTCCTGCACGTTGGCTGCTGGGAGTTCACAGGGCTGTAACGAGCAACTTAAGGCAATTTAAACCTGCCCTGATACTGAAAACAGGGTGCCCTTGTTCTTCTCATTGTGGGGTGTGCTCATCCCCTGCTCCCCTACCTTCAGCTCCAGAGACAGTGTGACTCACTTGCAGATGAACCCAGGGGAGAAAGTGAAGGCTATTTCTCAGCTCAAGCTCTGACTTCATGTGTGGTTGCTAAAATAGCTTGTGTCCCTCATGGCTTTTCATCTGCTTTAGCAGAATCAGGGTGGACCTTTCTCAGGTTTAACAGCATCCATGTGGTTTTTCAAGTCTCATTGTAGAGGTCAAGGGCTTAATCAAACACCCTCTGCAGAGCTTTGGTATTATTTGTTCCTCTTCTAGGTATTCAGTGATTACATTGTCCCTTTTTAATCCATGGCATTGTTTGGATTGCTTTCAGCACCTTTTCAGCTTATGCTGTGGCTTAGTTGTGAGACCTCTCTAATTTATTTGGATTCACTTTCTGGCTATTAATTGTAAATTTATGTTAATTCAGAAATTATCATCAGTTCATCACCTTTAATGGTTTTAAAATTGATGTAATAGTGTCTATTTCCTCTCTTTAATTAGATGTTTAATTTAGGTAGAACAGTCCATACCTAAAATTAACAGTGAGGAAACTTAAAACTGTGTCTAATGTCTTCATATGTTAGCATTTTAAATAAGTAATGGTGATAGTTTTAAGCTCATCATCGATAAGCAGCATCTGTCTGTTTTGCAGTCTGTGATGCTGATCGTTGCAGGAGATTCTACCTTCCTTTGTTCCAGAGAAGCATTATTCCTTGAAGTGTTTCATTCCTCTGGCAGTGACAGCAAATAAACTTGACTCTTCCCACAGAGCGAAGGGAGTAGATGGTATGTGTCGTGGAGCTGAGAAGCAGGGAGAGGACGTGCAGGAGCTCTCTCTGTGTACACACACAGAGACACACGTGGGTGGGGGCTGGAAGGATCAGTAGACATAAAGCTGGAATACTGACTTATGTCCTTGTCTGTAGCACGAGAGCATGCCATGTTTTAAGGAGGTGACGACAGAAAGGCATCTCCAGAAGGTTCACGCTTTCCACTTGTGTCAGCTGGTGTGTCCGAGGCCGGATGACCATCATGCACTCACTCCTGCTGGCCTCTCCGTGTCTTTCAGGGCTGACGCTTTTAGTGCAGAGGGTTAGGCTGGGAAACCACCTCTGTGCAGCTCTGCTTTGTCTGGGCTGAGGGTGTTTGAATGATTATGCAACTGCAAAGTGTCATTCTGCTAGGCCAGTTGTGTTCACATTGGTACAGCAGTATATCATAATGGAAATGCTAGTCAAGCATCTTTGTCTAGTGCACTATAAAGATTTTAAGAGAAATTCTGCACATCTGCTGGATGGTTATGGATCTCCTGGGAGGTGTATGATCCTTGCTATGGTGACTGTGTATTTTCTGTCCAAACAATCTTTTATTTTACATTGGTGGAGAGAAAAAAATAGAACAAAGAGAAGTAAAGTCTTCATCTACACGCACACACTTTCCTTACAAGGCTATTTCACAAAATACCAAGCATCCTTCTGCAAGTGTATAATTTGGTGTGTCTTACAGTTGGATCTGGCAGGTAGGGTGAAGGGCTCTTCAGGGATTCACACTACACTGGGGAGACCCAGAGAAATACTGAGAAGCAGAATGCTTGCCTGGACCCTTTTTGCTACCTGCTTAGGATCTGAGAAGCCAAAGTGTAACCACAAGTGGACATTGGCTAGCCATGAGTAGACTGTGGTTGGAAGATAAAAGAAGGTTCCTAATCTTTGTATATCCTGTGACAGACTTTCAAGAGTAGCCATGTCAGAGAAAGACTTCTGCTTTTCAAATTTCTTCTTCTGTTTATCTTACAGAATGGTCCTGTGTGACTGTGGGGTGGATTGTGAGGTTACAGATTCAAGAGAAGGCAGGAGTGGAAGTGGGCAAGTGGGCAAAGCAGCTGCTTCTGAGGAAAAATTGAGGTCCAGTTTTGGGGAAAGCGCCTCAAATGTTAATGATGAGAGATGAGTTGTCAAAAAGTAATGAGATTAGAGGCTAGGAGCCAAAGAAGTGCTGAGTCTGGGAGTTGGGTGCATTGGGAATGGCTGTTACATGGATGGGAAGCACGTGGAGGCACAGAGTCTGTTACTGCACTATACTGAAAGCCTCTGTGTGCACTGTCAATATTTAAAGGGATTTTTCTTGTTGAATGCTTTCAAGTTAAAGCCTAACTACTAATCTGAGATATTTGGAGATAATTGCTAGATAGTCATGAGCACGTACCTGAAATTTCCTGACATTTACAGAGTCCTTTACATGTCAGAAGTGGTTAAGTAAGGATTAATATTTTCATTTTGCAGTTATGTGGTGGAGCAGAAGAGCCTGAACCAGGTGCTTTATAGTTTGCTAGTAGTCATAGCAGAAGTCTTTGCTAAACCACAAAGAGAACCTGAAGCTTCTTAGCTTTTTGAGACATGCCAAATCCGTTCAGTAAACTGTGCTCTGTTTTTCTCTTTTTCCCTTGAAAACTGAATGTTGTCAGCTTTTCTGGTGACAGAAGAGTAGCAGGTGTCCAGTGCAATATAAGCAAATCAGTAAAAGCAGTAGCAGCGCTTTGAGATCAGAACCTCATCTGAAGCAGCTGAAACCTAAAACTTCATCATAATGAAGCTTGGTTTTTATCCTTCTATCCAACAAGTTTCTTTATGGTAACATTTTATATTTAACTATGTGGCTGTCCAAGGCTGAGATGTCACTGCTGTTTTTTCAAGGGTACAGTGATGATGAAGTCTCTGTTCCACCGCAGAAGAAATAAGGTGTTCAGCTGCCTTAGGGCTTCTTGGAGTTTTCCATGTTGGGAAGTGTTTTGTTTGCTAAAATGCAAATAGGAAACCCAGTCAGAAACATATTTGCATTGTTAGGCAATGAAATACTTTGATAATATAGTCATAATCGATACCCTTCTAATTCAAGTCCATGTTTATATTTTCCTGTCAAAAACAGTGGTGAAAGGTGTCGTAGTTAGAGAACTTTTATATTTTTCTTTGCTGTTGTAGTTAGTGATTGCAGTTTAGAATAGCTTTTAGGTTTGCATAGGAGAATATGGGTAAGTATCAGTATTTTCCTGAGCATTATTACATATCACCCTTAAATCTAATATATGGTGTGGTGAGAACAGTCAGGAAAACACAAATACAAATGTTGACACTTTTTTTTTTTCCTCTCTCTAGGATTATGATGGCTTTTTTGAGTCAAAGGAGAGCAACACTGTCTTCTCCTTTCTTGGACTAAAACCTACTTTGGCATCAAAGGTCAGTGTAGTATTGCAGACTTTTCATGGAATTCTTGAAATACTGAAATAGAATTTTCTTTGAACCTCAAGAGCTCTGTGTGTTCGGATGCACCACTGCCCTGCTCCATGCCTTCTATGTATCAGCCTCATGCTAATGAGGGAATCAAAATGGTTGCCATGAAAAGCAAGGCATTTTAAATGTAACCAAGCATACACATGGGAGTTCATTTGAGGCAGTTGATAAAGGAAGTTTAAAGAATACATTCTCCTTCACATTATCAATCTAAATTGAAAGCAAATGACTTAATTATAATAGGAGACAGAACTAGGATCTTAATCACTGGAATATCTGCAGCTTGTATCACCAAAACATCATCTTACTGAGCCAGCCTGGCATAATGGCTCAACCAGGACAGCATGTATTCATTAGGCATTGATTTATAAGTGAGGAGTTATATCAACTTTCTACATAAGAATTCAGTTTTAACAAATACGTATGTATAGGTCAGAACTCAAAGTGACATAATGTCTTTATGTTGAGTGCAGTATAGTAGAGGATATTTTATTGCCATAGGTAAGCCTGGACAGTTGTTCAAAGAGGCCGTGTGGTGCATCTTTTGGCAGTAGATCAGGCATATCAGGGAGGACTTTTCTTCCCTAGACTACTGTAGATAGAGCTGTGTTGGGTGGTAGTACTGTTTCAGGCCTCAACAGTAGCTCCTGGGTACCTATAGGGTTCCTCTTCTGCCAGGAATTAATTTATTTCTGGACACCATGAAGGACAGGAGTGGGAGGGAATCTCAACAGAGAACCACAAAAGCAGGTTATTTTGTCAGCCTGCCTCCCTTCATAGCTTGAAGAACTTGTCCTAGGAAAAAGAATGTGCCCAACTGCAATCTGGAACAGCAGCTCCTGTGCAGCTCTGTTCCGGGGAAGGAACCTGTCATAGGTCCTGGGGAGTGTCTCTGTAAACTTGGCCAAATCTCTGCTTCAGTCTGTCAGTACTTCGGAGTGATGCATCCTCAGCTGCTGTGTGGACCAGGGTTAGGGGCACCTTACGAGCAAAGGCCACAGACTCAGAAGATGAGAAAGTATTCTCAGCATTAATAATCTTTGTTTTTTTTTCTCTTCTGAATAGGAACACTAGAAAGCCTATCTCTGAAGTATCAACAAGCACATCTCCTGGATGAATGACCCCATACTTCAGCACACAACAGCTTCCCTAATGGATCACTGTGATAGAGCAAACATGCATCATTAGTAGTAGTCTGCTTGCCACCAGACGGTGCTCCCCAGTAACGCGGAGTTCGTAACACGTATACGAAACAGGATTAAGGCTGGGCTACTCATCTTCCTTTTCAAAAATACTCACTGTTATGTTTCACTTCTGTCTTTAGATTGCTTTTGCAACTGACACTGATACCCTAACAGACTAAGGAGTGAAAGTACAGAGCGTCTGTCCTTCATGGGTATACTTACACAGTCATGTTCCTCACTTTTTTTTAATTCTTCCAGCTGCTGTAGTTGAACCTCACTCACCGTGATAGTTGAAGTGTTGGTGGTTATTAGCATGTTTGTGCTGGCTGTGAGCCAGAAGGTAAAAAATTGTCAATCTTAAGATCTCAGTCTAAGCCAATAACTGCCATATTTTTGCTCTACATTTATTTATTGCCATGTTTGTGCTAGATCGTGTTTATTGTAAGGGACATAGGCTCCTAACCTTGTGCGTGAAAACTGGATTTGTGTAATGATGCACATTGCAACTGATGGTTTAAAAACGGTTGTTATGGTGGAGGTGCCAAAGTGAAGTATTTTGACATGGTTCCTGTTCCAAATGCAGGTAAAATGTGCAGGAAAATCCTTGGTGGAAAATACCGGGTGGTTTGGAAGAAGAGGTCTCGTAGCTAATGACAATATTGTAAGATGATCTCTAAACTGAGAAGGACTTAGCACCCAAAGTTGGAGCTCTATAGTTGGACTGTCTTAAAATGAAATTTTGCCAAAGCCTTGAGTTTACCTTCAATAACACCCAGCTCCACCGTTAGCCACGTGATGGTCAGGGGGATACTTTGAGAGCCAGGGCTCTGTCTAGTGGATGGTTAAGCACTCTACTGTGGGCCAGGAGCACACCTATCTCACCCAGCTGTTGTCCTGGTTACATTTCCCAGGTATGGAAATGTGGAGGTGCCTCAAAGACAGTGAGAAAGCTGAGCATGTGCTTTGCTGAATGCGACCACAACAGTCAGCTCAGCTGAGGAGCAGGAGCCAAGTAAAGGACGTGGGGATTGTTCCAGTGGGACTCCATTGATACACACAGCAGAACTTAGGCCCATGACTTGCCAATAACCATTACAAAATGCGTTCTAGACAGAAGTCAAGTTGCATTATGCATTTTAAATCGAGTCTGGCTATAAAAATAACAGCTATGTTGTAATGTAGCTTTTACTCCAGTGATTTCCTAATGGCAGAGTAGTGCTGTTCCAATAAATGTCCTTATGTCTTTGGGCAAATGAAAGACAACCGTTATATGGGAAAGCTTCTTTGCAGTCACAGCATCACTCATACTGTGTGGCTTGAAGGAAGTCAAACTTGTAAATAGTGTCAGAAAGCATCACTATCTGTGCAACAAATCACCCATTCTGTTAAAACTAGCAACCATGGCATCTGAGACAGGTTAGTTGGAAGGGACAACTGGAGGTCATCTGGTCCAGCACTGTCACAGTCGGGGCTCGCACTATCACTAGCTTGGATTAGATGTGGGTTTGTCTAGCAGAGTAGTAAAAATATCCAAAGATGATGGTCTCATAACCCTCCAGGCAAACTGTGCCAGTGCTGCAGTGCTCTCCTGGTGAAAACTTTCTTTTAATGTCCAGCCTCAACTCCTAGACTGTAATTTGTGGTTGTTGCCTTTGCTATGTTTTCTGGCATTCACAGGAAGAGGTTGGCACCATCCTTTTCGTAACTGCCCACAAGACAGTTGTAGGCTACCATCAGGTCACCTCTTAGCCACCTTCTTACCAGACTAAACCAACCTGGCTTCCTCAACCTCTCACAGGCTGTGTGCTTTCAGCCCCTGGCTGCTTTGCTTTGGTGGAGGGCTACTCTCCAGTTAGTTCACATCCCTCTTGAGCTAGGAGAAGGTCCAAACCCAATATTTTGGATGTGGCCTCACTGGTGCTGAGTAGAGGGCCATGGTAACTTCCCTCAGCCTGCAGGCCACAAGCCTCCTGCAGGAGCACACTGTGTGCTTTACACCATGTGCAGTCAGGATGTTGCTGGCTTATGATCAACCTGGTGTTCACTAAAATCCCCAGGTCCCTTCAGCAGGTCCATCAGTCCCTTCCCACCCCATACTGATGCTTCACCACCCACAAGGGCAGAACTTTCTGCTTTGTCCTTACCAAACTTCATGAGGTTTCTGTTAGCCCAGTCTTCAAGGTTACTGAGATGTACTGAGATGCCCCTGGACTGAAGCTCTGCCAGCTGTTACCAGCCGCTAAACCAGGTCTGGGTGTCATTCACAGACTTGCTGAGGGTGCACACTAGGTCATCATCCAAGTCCCTGCTGGAGATGCTGAACAATAGGAGAACTGTAGCCACACAGATTTTGAACAGTGGCTTACTCTTGACTACAGAGGTATGACACAAACAATTTTTGTGACTACCAGTTGCTGGAGTAAAGAACAGGTTACCTTCCTCTTTGTGTTGTCCTACCTACAAAGTGCTTACAGCTGTATGGCTTTTTCCTCTAGTACAAAGGCAAGAAAGCTTTAAAAAGAGGTTAGAGTCCATCCATAATTCAGTTTCTCTTTGGATCCTCTGGTGCCTCTTCAGCTAGCTCTGTTAAAAGGTTAGATGGAGCAACAGCACACACAGATTTTTAAGTCCATGGTTGTATCTACTGGTCAAAATCTTAGCTACAGCACCTTCTCCAGAGGAATCCTGAATGGGAGTTGATAACATGCGTATACATATAGATGTACATTCATTTTTAAGAGTGACATTGTCTGTGCTGAGTTACTGTGACATTCTTCCCATCAGTCCCCTGTTTTCATGAGACTTGAACCTCACTATGGGAAGGGGATGTGATACGAGGTGGAGCTGTAAGTTAACTTCACCAAGTTCAACATAACTATTTATAAAAATAGTTATAAAAAGTTGAATATTTATTGAAAAATATAAGAACGTTTAACTTTGCAAATGAATACAGATACATATTTACATAATTACACAGTTGATTACAGAGAAGCCATCCTGGATTTATCATGTACTTGATATGTTGAAAACCTTGAGAACTGCCTGAAGTCCCAGTTTCTAAAAGCTTACCTGAGTGTGTAAGTATACAGGCATGAGTAATCCTGGGCAAAGTCCCGGGGCTTACTGATGCGAGAGGCAAAACCACACCGATTTCTCCGGGGATGAAATTAGTTTCACAAAACTCCTCTTGAATTTTGATAATTGTAGAATAGAAGCCTCCCATTCTGGGGAGAGCTCGTCCTGTTAGAGCTGCTAGGTAAGCCCGGCTTATTTCGGAGCATGCACGTGGGCATAATCAGTTGTGTGGAGGACAACAGTAGCTCCAGAGATATCCTGCTTGCTGGCATGGATTGGCAGTGTAAGTCCCTTAGAAAACATGGTTTTGAATTATAAGTGGCTAGTTTAAGAAAAAAAAAAAAAAAAGGGCATATATGTTGCTTGAATGTGAATTTGGTCTGTTGTGCAACAGCCTTATTTTTGTAATAATGGTGAGTAGAGTTCTAGTTTGTTACACAAGATGATCTGAAATTTTTTAAAACAGTTTTGTAATAATGAAATGTAGCTATCAGGTAACTGAAAAGGTCTGCAGAAGCTAGAGGCATTTACTGAAAGAAATAGCAAATTCTTAATTCCGTTTCAAATATTTGCATATAAAGATATGCTCGAGAACCAAATTATCTCAATTTTTAGCTAATACTTGTAAATAACCCACTTTTTAAAGGGGAGAACAGTGTGAAACAGACTGTAAATCTTTGTACCTAGCTGATGTTGCTGTGTGGGGTGACACGCACGTGCACATTCACTGTATCAGTGGCTTTGATGGAGGTGGTTTTGTTCGTGCCACACACTACTGGATAGTGCCTTGCCAGAAAGGGGACTGGTTCTGTAGGGTCTCTTAGATGTGCTTATACTTTGAACTGAGAAAGGGGTAGTTTCTATATCGCTATTTTTATAATAATGGAGTAAATTGATTTTGAGGCCCGAATCAAAAGACACGTGCTTTGTAAGGTTGAAACAGTTTTTGATCAGTCTTCTGAACTCTTGTTTTTTCTTAGTGTGGCTTTCTCTTTTTTTTTTCTTTTTGTTGACTGTCTAGAATTAAACCTTCCAAGGGGAGTACACCTGGAGTAATGCCCCTAAATCCATGTTTACACTTTAAAATAACTATCTGATTCTAGTGTTGAGCAGCCCAAGTGGTATCACTGAAATGAAGAGGAGCTACCAAGCTCTCAGTGGATTTCTTGGTTGTCCCTCCCTGCCCTGTCTCCCCATTGGGACATTTACTTAGGGAGTCCAATTCTGGGAATACCATAAACCCTGAGATTTTAGGCAGTGCCTTGTGGCACATCACAGAAGTGCAGGAGCGGGGTCATCACCAGGAAAGTGCCAAATCCCCTTAGTCTTCATTGACCTGTCCACCGATTTCACTAGATCTGGGCGTGAGCCAAGCGGGAGAGGGAGGGATCCCCACACATTCCCCCCACACACAGTGAGAGTGGGAGACAAGACGCAGAGTGGCCCACAGCTTGTTGATGGCACCCTGAGCAGCCGTTCTCACAGGGGCCCTGGGCCAGCAGTGCCATGTGTGAGAGCACACAGCACCGCTCTCCGTGGGGCTCCAGCTGCATCGTGACTGATCCTACACCCGCTGGCTCCCTAGAGAATCTGGGAGGGGAAAAGGAGAACACCTTCTTGAGGGCAGTCCTTCAGCCGGGGCAGATCCAGCTTACTCCCTTCTTCTTCTTTACCTCTTCCTAATGTGCTTCGTCCTGTCCTGTGTAGACCTACCTGCGTGCAGAGCTTCCACTCCTGGCCATCTGCAGCACCCCGGTGAGGCGGCAAACGCGGAGCTGGCGGCTCACCTTCACGGCCTCCGTGTTTGGTAACCCCGTGCGGGGAGGGAGCACATTGCATCCAAGGCTGTGTACACGTGGAGTTTTAAATTATGTATTAAAACGTGTTCGTCTAATAAAAAACGTAATTCAAACAAGGCATTGGGACTGTGTTGTATGTGCCAAAGGAAACAATGGAAAAATACGGGTCTGTGTTCTTGCCGCAGCTCCCTCTGGTGACAGCCGGGTGCTTTGGCTTGGGCAGCCCCTGCAGATGAAAGCACTGCAGAGCTTCTGCAAGGTGCTACGTGGCTTTGATCCCTGGCGCCACGGTGGGAATGGCAGTGTGCAGAATGCCTGCTGGGTTGGACTCCAGGACCTCACCAGGTAAATAGTAGTAAAGAGGAAAAAAAAAAAAAAGGATGATCTATTGTCTTCCATTTTTGCACTTGGGTTAGCTGATAAATACTGTGGAAATGTTAGTTTTCACTGTCTGCTTCACCAATCCATATTTAAACATTTTGCACAGTTCAGTGACTGTCCAAAGGTATGTTGCAGTCTTCCCTTGATTCTGTCTCTAGTATGTAATTTTTAATTCTTCATTGTTCCTGTCTCAAACCTGCCCATTATCTCCAGTATGAGCACCACTATGGAAACTCTACCCGCTCTTGGCATCTTCCACACCCTGGAGTGAGGTTCTGTGCCACCTGCTCTAAGACAGGATGAGTAAAAAAGACCTGGATGAGGAAGGCAAGCACGAAACGAGATCCTCAGCTGACGTAGGATCAGTGATACCTCTTTGAAGTGAGTGGAGCTGTAGCAGCTCAGCAGTTGTGCTATGGTGGGTACAAGCAGCCAGATTTTTCAGTGGCCAAAAGCGCTTGAAAGTCATTGGTGTGTTTGCATTCATGTGTGCACGTGTCTATCTGTCAGTCTACACATCTCCTCCTTCCTGCTCCAGAGCAGTCTAGGCTGTGAGAAGGTTTTCCTGAACTGGCCCATTCACTTGATTTGTTTTTTAGATGCCAGAATGACTTGTCTAGTTCATTCCATGGACTTCAACCCAGCTGTTGCTGAAGATGCCTTCACACTCTTGTCCAAAGTAACCTCCCTCAGGCTGCACGGTGCAGCACAGGCAAATGTGGTTCTGGGTTCAAGTCCTCCATACGTTGGTTAAAGGTCAGTATTACATGTAATTCAATCCCCTGATGAATCTAGGAAACATTAGAAAACTGTAGTATTAAAGAACTAGACCCTAAAGGCAACGTCAGATGCAGCCTTGAAAAATTGTATTTAGAAGGCAAAAAAGTTTGTTAGATTCTGACATGAAAAAACGGGGTTCAGTAGCAAAGTCCTTGAAAAATGTGTGTCAACCTCTAGCTGCTTGGTTGCCCCATCCAGTTTAGCTGTCCACAGTATGTATAGCTATATTTGGTAGAGGAACTTCAGGGAAAGTGCACGCTTCTGGCCATGACTCATTTAATCCCAGGGCAATATTCTGAAGTCAGATGATCTATTTCTTAAAAATAATGCCACTTCTACCCTCCAAAGGAGCTCATAGCTCCTCTACCATAGCCAGCATAGGTAGGCACAGTAGAAGAAAATCCTTCAGGTCTGGGGAAACAGGCAAACCCTAAACACCCCATCCCTCTCCCCACACCCTAGGATGGGCCCCAGTGGGATCACCCTGTAAGGGCAAGAGACATTATGTGGTGCTCAAGAGACATTATGTGGTGCTATTGCCCTCCTCAGAAGGCTCTCCACATCATGCAGCAGCCCTGCATCCACCTGGGGATGCTTCCTGCTCCCTGACACTCCAGAGAGAAGGTACTTTTCGTGTAATGGGAATAAACAGCACACTGCCTTGGTGCCTTACAAGTCCTGAGTTCATATGCCTCTTCCAGATGCTATCTCCTTTAGCTGTGCCACACACCTTTGCTGAATTCCACTGAAATCGATGAATATCAAGATGTGTAAAACAAGAGCTGAGCCTACCTGTCTTCCCATCACAGCATATTACATAAATAAACTTGGTAAAATAAAGAGAAAAAAAAAAAAAAGTCAGTAGCTTGGGTTTTTGCTTCATTTCTTTGGGCAAGGCACTTTGAGGATCACTGGCTGCACCTACGCACGAGGGATTCGTTTCCCTGATGTACGACCAAAGCAGTAAGATGTAGATCAGCACTGGCAGGGAGAGAAACCTGCCAAGGGTCACCAGGTGCCTGTGGGCAAGCTCAAGTGAAGAATACAGGGCTGTGGGGGGTGAGGTTTGCTGCAGGTTAACAGCTCAGTTCTGTCCCAATCTGCTTCTCCAGCCACTGCTAGCCTCTCCCTCTGCTTCACTAAATACTTCCAGCTCACACCTTCCTGGTAGGAAATGGGGAGTGATCAGAGTTGATGGCTTTTGCATGCTTTTCCAAGATAACTTCAGCCAATTTTGTTTTGCAGATTGATGTGCCAGCCTCTCTTCCACAGGGCAAAGCTTCAAGGATGGCATGCATAGCGCTGGGGACAGTGTGGGCACAGCCACCACGATGCTCCTGATCTCACAGCACATAAATTCTGGCTTGCTCTCCCTCTGTTTGCAAAATCCACCCCACAGAGCCTGCTGCCAGGGGTGAAGTGATCCTCTTCTTTTTTCCTTAGCTTCTCTTCCTTCCATCATTTATGTGCTTAATAGGGGAAGGAGAGAAGAATGTAGGTGTGAAGAGGCTGAGATGGATGATGTGCTGACCAGCTTTTCAGATGTGAGAACTAGTAAATCTGCATCACTCTTTAGCATGATACGAGCTAATTTGCTCAAATATGAAGCTCCTCATTTAACTACAAATTGTCTACTTAAAGCTGTATCTGGAGAGGAGTCCAGTTCTTTCCCTTGGATTCCTTTCCCAGCGTACCCATGTTGCCCTCTTTTACCTGTTGCCTAAAGGTAGTCTCTGCAGGGAATGGCCCATGCAGAGCCCTTCACTGACTTCACACGGCTGCAGCAGTGGCAGGGCCGTATGTCACCTCCAGGACTTGGGAAAGCTGCTTGCTGAGCTGCCTGTAGACCCCTGAGCCCTGTCCCTGGCTGGGGCTGTGACCCGCGAAGGCTGGGTGTCCTGCCACCGTGCTTTGCCCCCTTAATGGCTGGTAATGGCTACCTCTGCTGACCTGCTCCTCCAGCTAATGGTCCTCCTGCTGCAAGGCTTTTACAGTCATTGGCACCACTGGTATGATTTTCCTGCAACATGTTTTCATCTCTGGGTTTTCATAGCTTTAAATTTTTCCATTTTTCTTCCTGGCTTTGTTGGATATGGTTTTTCTTTTAGATGTCTTCTGTGAGTGGCATAAATTTGAGTTTAAGCTATGTGAGGGCTTTTAGGTCAGGAAAGCTATACAGCTTTGCTGTGAAATATGCTCTTGAGTCATTAAGGTAAATTGCTGTAGCATCAGTGCTGCTCCAGCCAGGCTATAATACTTAAGCCCTAAGTGGCCATCTCGTGTCCTTTGGAGCATTCTCACTCTAAGCAAAATGTGGGTATCCATCAAATCCACTTATACCTACAGAAACCTACAGAGGTGATGGCATTTGAGCGCGACAAAATGTCATGGTCTGCATTAAATAGTCAACCTAGAGGAGATCTCTTGGGTTACAGAGCCAGATCCTCTGCTGTTTCTGTTGTCACAGAGTCTGTTTCATAAAACAACCAAACTCCAGATAAAAGCAACAAACTGGGTCTTGGTTGATATTTTTTACCTGTTTTTCTCCTGTTATTTTTGGCTTCGCTATGCCACTTGGAAGGTTGTCTGAAAATCCCACTTCTTTTGCACCAAGAAATGAACCTTCTTCCAAATTCCATCTGAAATTTATTAATGACCAGCTTATCTCCATTGTCCTTGTTCTTTCACTTAAGGAAGTCTCCCATGCTGGAATTACCTGCTGTGTGTCCATATGTGGTGGTTCCTTCCACTGCTTAAGCTATTCTTCTGTCAGGTCCAAGTTGTGACATGAGCCAGCGCAGAGTCTGGTTGTGCTGCTGGTACCAGCTGAGATCCCTGGGTTCAGGAGATCTCACCTATACAACAGCGTGGAGTAAATCTGTGAAGTAATTCCAGAATGACCTCTTTAATTACTTCAGCTAGCAGTATTGCAGTATTCACAGCTCAGAAGTGTTACGAAGACAGAGATAATCCTGATACTTGCTTTCAATGTCTTGGCAGAAGTCTTGCCATTTAAGCTTCTCATTGTAGCCCTTACTGAGCTATTTCTCCACTTTAATGTATTTCCTCTGCAAGTTGTGTGGGCAGGTGAAAGAACTGCATTTGCTAAATACATGAATTAAACATTCTCTTCACAGACTTTAGCCTTTGATTAATTCAAAGGTGTCAGAAAAATGGATAGCCGGGGGTGTGCTCCTTGAACTTACACCAGCTACAGGAGTGACATACAGATCTTGGAAAGACCATCTTTAAAAAATTTATTTCAGTTTAATATATAGACATATATATTTAAAAAAGTTGGTAAAGGTAGGTCCTAATTCCCTACTGATCTGAACAAAGAACATGACTTTCTATGGCAGACAGCAGTTACCCCAGGATAAAAACCCCCTGGCACGGTCCCTCTGCCCAGCTTTCCTGCACATCAAGCCAAAATCATTGTGTTTGGCCTCAAAATCACTCTTGTGGTGTCTGCTCCAACCTGCTCCCTGCACAATTCTCTCAGCAGTCTCCCACAACTAAATCCTCCCACCAGTCCTAGCTGGAGTGTATTTTCCAGTCTTCTCTCCTTGCTTTACACCTTGTCATGTCTTCAACATAACCTGTGTGGCAGTGGCCTCTCCTCTGCCATCCTCCCCAACCTCATGTCAGTCTCTCCACCTTGCATCGCAGGCTGAGAAGCTGTGAAGATGTGGGTGATATTTTTAGATATTTGATAAGGAGAAATATAGCAAACATCTTGATTATCTTCTTCCCAGGATAATCAATTGCCATTACAAAGCACCACTCATCAGAAAACACCCCTCACTGCATTAGCTGGAATGCAACAGAGCCATGGAGTTTGTGCTCACCAAACCTGTATGGGATAGATACTCTTATGGTTAATAACAATAAGAAAAACTGTTGCGTATGTCCTGAAACCACTAAGAATAAAACATTAAATGGTGTCTGCTTCAGCAGTTTTCTCCAGATAGAGACAGGAGAGTTTTCATCACTGTAACTTTACAGGACTTTGCTATTAAGATCTGCTCAACATCTTCTCAGGGTCACATATGACCGAAAGTTTAAATTAATCTATCTTTAGGAATAGTGACATACATTCCAGTTTTTCTTAGCTTCCTCTATCCTATCCAACTGTGCATCACAATGTCTGTTTCTTAGCAATGTCTTCAGCTGATCAGAAACAA